GTTCTGCTTCTCATTTCAACAGTGTAGCTGATATGTAATTATAGGAAAAGAGTTTATCTGAATGGGTACTGAGACAAAATTGTAGAGTACTTTGGGCTGTCAAGTTGAACAGGAAGCAAAATATTCCCCGAAACCCAGATGTCTGGCAGTTATCATCTCAAGACAAATGTCGCTTGTAAATGTGTCAGACATAGTTGAGGAAATGGTTTTTACGGTTTATACCTTAAGGTAAATTTATAAAATTATTATTTCCTTTTGTACAGCAGTTAGAATTTCTCAATCAGTCTCTAAAGTCTTATCTGTTTTTTGAGGTAAAAAAAAAAAACAGAGCTCCAGAATAAAAATTTGACTACACTACTTCCTGATGAGTTGAATCAGGAAGAGAACGAGCTGGTAGTTATTAACATATTCTTTGACAAAAAGAAAAGAAAAAAACACAAAACACATTTAAAGGTTTTAAAAAAAATTCCAGGGTATTCATTGGAAACCCTCGGATAACTTGAACCTGAATCAACTCAAGAACATCTAGACAGAAACAGCAGCCTGGTGTTTTCCCTCCCCATCTTTCATCATCTGGTCTGTTTTAATCCTCATTTCAAAACACGGGAACTAATGACTAATGGCAAAATTCAAAACAGTGATGTAGGCAAAAGATTATGAGAAATGTCCATCTATCTGACACAACAGGCTGCATGTTGCCATGGTAGACTAATGTCATGCAAGGTACTGTGCTCTGCTTTTATGAGATTACGTGGATAACAGGGCCACGAGCCCAGCAGTCTGGAGAGCCTGTTCAGCTAATTAGGCATCGGGTTCAAAGTGGTGATGGAAAATCAGACGGGATAATCATTATCTGCATCATTATAATGAAAACAGAAAACAGGCTTTCAGCAGGCCTCAAGAACTGTGATGCACCTGATGATGGAGAACAGGGCTTTATTTTGGAGGCTTGTGAATTAATATTCAATGATTTTGGTTCTGATAATACTACTATTACTACTACTACTTCTGATACTGTTAAAACAAAAAGTGGTTGTAAAGTGTCCGACAGAAAAATGCAATTTTGTGCATGGGAGACACTTTCATCTCCTGTTAGTGCAGCTGTGTCTTCTGTCTGAAAGTCAATCAGAAAGCATTAGGGAAATGTTCAGATGACCGAGTTCAAGTAAGTCAAAGTGCTGTCGGTACTGAAGCCTTGTTGTTTATTGATATGTTTGGCCTGAGCTGTGTTGGGAATTCCGGAGCCTTTCTGGAACTTTTAGAAACAAGATCTGTTTGTTTTTTCGGTGTGTATTATTTTAACAAGATAGTTCCCATATATTTTTATTGTTGAAATTAGACCGCTCACGATAAGATACAGTTGTGTAAAAATATGGTGTATATGCTATGGACTACGTGACAATATGATACTATTACATTTTACATGGATGTCAGATTACACTGATAGTCTTAGGAATGGTTCCACTATCATGCACTGTAAAAATAACTTTTGGTCAGAGTGCATAAATTACAGTCACTCTCTTTGTAAATTGTACATTTAGAGGACTTAGATTTCCATGACCGTACCGTCTTCAAGTAAAATAGAACTTATTGCAGCAGTATCGTGCACCAACTGATTTCTACACACAGCTTTACAAATTCCCAGTATCTTTATACTATTTTCTTCAAAGTAGCCACATAGTAGCAATAGTTGTTGCAATGTTGTCCCATACAGTTGCTACTTGGTGAAATAAATTGTTTTACAAAACAAGGTTTTAACAGTGAAAATTGTTGAAAAGTGAAGCTAAATCTCAGTGTTGTTCTTGTTGCACAGCATTTCTTCAACAGCGTTTTTTTTTTTTAACATTGTGTCCTTGCGTAAGTCTGTACCTCCTTCCTGTGTTGCCAACACACAAAAGTAAGTCAACAGCTGTTTTGATCCAACAGCAGAAATTTAAGCAGGTTTGCGTCCGTTGTTATTTTTTGTTTGAAATGTTTAATGGTAGGTCAGCTCTTAAACCTCTGCTGAATAAAAATCAAAATGATAGAGATTTGTACTATAAATATGAATGGCAATTGTAAACTACAATTTGGGTTCTTTTTTTCTTCTGTCAGCACAGAAGTAACACATGAATGGTTTTCCTAATCCAGGAAGACAGCTCAGCCTTGGAGCAAAGAAACAATTAATTATACTTTGGTAGTAATCCAGATCTAGGAGTCCTACCATTTGATTTTTTTCTTCTTTTTTTTTCTTTTTTCCTTTTAACCAATTACATAATCTGATTTTATTGACTCAGGCAATAAAAGAAAACGTTAAATTATGTTTTGTTTTAATACTTAAATTCTGTATTTTCTGGTCACTCTCAAAAGGCCATCATCATATTCTATTTCAAGTATTCAATTTCCATTTTAAGTAAACCTTTTCATAGAATAATATGGTTTTTAGAATAAAACTAAAAACCTCTTGGATAGTGATAGGATCTGCATTAATTATACTTTTTTTTGTTGTTGTATTTATTTATTATTATTTAGTTTTATTTGTTAGTATATTTACATTTGCAAACATTCAGAAATTATAATGTTGATAATAGCAAACCAGTCACAGGAGGTCCACATGTGCACAACAGTTAGCTGTTTACTAGCTTGATAGTGAAATGATAACATGTCTTCTGAATGTCCTTAATGACCAAACATAATTAGCAAATTTTTCTTAATAATCTTTTCACTGACTTAAATTTGATGGGATGCTTTCTAGTCTGTGTGAAGTTTTAGGGTTTTTTTTTTTATTACAGCATGAGCAACAACTGCACACTTGACACACTGAATCATCTTTTAAAAAAATGTTTCTATATAGTGAGCATGTCCATTAAGCTATGTAAGCTTAAGCTATGTAAGAAATGTAAACAGATGGATATTGTGGCTTGAAGAGGAATTTTAAGGATTCTAGCCTGCTGAATTCACTATAAGCCTGTAACTCCATACACTCAGGTACTGTAGCAAGTTTCTGCATGTAATCCATACTAAAGAAATTACGGGCAGCCTGGACACTGGACATTAACCTAAAGGAGACAACAGATACACTTGTTTCTCGTTCATGAGCATCACTGTGCACACATTCTGTACAGACAGTATGTTAAAGACAAAAAACAAGAGTATTGGAGTGGTTTGAGATTTTGTGTGATAAACATCAGGTTTTGCTTTGCTGAAAAATCCCGACATTGTACTTTAGTTGTAGATAGGGAACTCTGTTTTTATTATCCCTCATTTGTTATACAAATATGGTTAGAGGTTAAAGATTGAGGCATAACTCATGAATTTAAGTGTCCAACAAACTTGCTTGTTTTTCAACCCCGACTTCCATTTAAAGACAATAGTTGGATGATACAAGCTACAAGGAATTGAATTACATTCCGTCTTTTCCTTTAGCATTTCCTGATGTAGATGGATCATTGTTCCACTGGCTTCCTGTTGTGGCTTATTGTGACTTACATATAGCAACAGGAGGAACACTGGTGGGTTTGAAGATTTGAAAATTACTGATCTCACCCCCAGGCTGGCAGGGAAATGTAGATGGTCCAGGTCTGTGCCGCAGTTAGTTGTTGCAAAATAGTATGATCATCATTAACAACAGAACAAAATCTTGTTATAAAGGTTGCCAGATTAGATGTGGCATAGTTCCCTTTGTGAAACACTTAAAATTTTATCCACCAAACAGCAAGTTCACATTGAAGGTTACTAATGTGTTTTTGGGCTCTCCTTCTTTTTGGCCCCATCTTTACTGAGAGGAGAATTAGGGATCTATTGCATAAGAAGAAGGTCAGCCAAAAGACTGCAAGCTGTCTCTTCATGAGCCTGAGAGTAACTTTAAGAAGCTGTGTTTACATTATTGTTCTTACTGCGAGACATATGTTTTTAAGAACAAATATCTCATTTAAATGGCAGCACTCTGTTTCCAATCACTTTAACACTTGGCAAGTAGCAATATTACAAAAAGGGATATTATCCAAAGGATGTAAATTTTAAAAGGTTAACATTTGGCATCTGATATCTTCTATTTAAGTACACAAATTTAAAATAAATAATCACAGTCGGACCTGATATAAGTATGCTGATACTTGATGGGGTTTTTTGGGTTGTGTGTGTAAAACTTCAAGACTTTTAAAGTAGCTCTTTCTCTCTTTTCTGGCTACCCATATGATCTACCCCGACCTGACAAGACCATAAAAACATTAAAACATGTAAGACAATGACAACAAAAATCCCTTGTCATTGAAAAATAAAAATAACATCTAGTACTGTGTCATTACCCAACTCTGTTCCAGCATGGCAGAGAATCTATTTCTTTTTTCACTTCGCTAGAAGTTAAAGAAGAGCCAGGAACTAAAATACTCTTACAACTAAAGCAACTGCCAGTTAAAACAGAAGGCAAGTGAACATTGAAAGCAGTCCTCTGAGTAAGAATTCTGTTAGTCATCTTATCAGACTCTTTATTGCATTCTTTAAGACCTTTGCATAGATTTAAGACATAACTTGAATTGGTTTTCCAGAACAAAGGCAGTAATTTATCCAACATTGCAGGTGTGACATTACACGTCCTTGTAAAATGCTTTGATGTGTCTCCACCATAAAGACTAGCCAGTAAGAATAGTACTCAACACAGCATTGGCAATACACATTTATTATATGGCTGTAAAATTGTCATATTTCATTGCCAATTGTATTTCTTGGTGACTTCTATAAGAGAAAACACATCTTTGTGCAAGTAATGGCCAAAGGCTTGGGAGGCCGAGTTGTTAAGCATGGAAACACCAACAACTCTAAATCTTGGAAAGTTGCAGGAACAGCTGCAAAACCCACTCTTTTTGTTCTTAATCTGATTTAGTGTGACTTTTTTTGCTTTTGCTTTTTAGGTACAGTGAAACTCTAATCTAATGTCTCACATGAGATTCTGATCATAAATGGCTTTTTATGTTGAAGATGTAACTAATTGCCAAAACATGTTTGTCCCTTCTGACCTGCAGAGTTGGATACACGTCTGTGTCCATTTCCTGCTGTTCATTACGCTTGGGGTGCATTCAGATAGACTTAACGTCAACCCAGTGACCAATGACATCGCTAAACTCTCCACTTTGGTAAGAGAAACACTCCAATTAAATTGCATTTGAGAAATTCTAAACTAAATGTCTATTCTGGTATGTTATACATGGCAGGCTACCACTGAACAATCTAAAGCTATTATAGCTATTAAAATATAGTCAAATGAACACACAAAGCACAATGCATAGGCATTAGAACTGTATTCAAACCAGTGGCAGATCTTGAAAGTCTTTGGTCAAACAGCTGCAAACACTGTATTTCTCCAGAGAACCATATTTGATCACTGCCATCACTTAACCGTGTAATGTAAAAACTACCTGTTTATCTTTTTTCCAGAATATATATTTTAAATAACTACTCGTCAACAGAGGAGAAAAAAGAAAGTTAGCACCTGAACAGGAACAGGAACAAAAAAGAAAGCTGTGTAGTTGTTTCACCAAGTCTTTGTGTTCATGGTTTCAATAATAGTAAATTCACAAATTTTCAAACTGAATGAAAATTCATGTTTTTATGATGTTGCCTGCAGTTTAATGTTAATGTACTTTCTTTTTTTTACAGAGACAAAATATTCCTAAAGATTACCTAATTCCTCTAGAGTACATTCCTAAAGAAGAGGTAAGATATTGTGACATCTTTCAATGAACAGGCAGTAACCAAATTTATGACAAATCTAGCAAATTGATAAGCACAAAAAAAATGCTTTAATTGTCCTTGCATTTGACGTTGTTACTTCAAAGAGGTGAACCAGGTTTATGGCCACTCTGAGTCATTTGGCATATTTGGATTGATTTGGGTGTGTCAGGATGGTAATAAATCAGCAATAAGATGAAACCAGTCTGCTACCAATTTGCAATTGGATTGGTTCAAATTGTTAATAACATAGAATCTGTTGTGATAATACAGCAATTAACTTTTATAGGTGAACAAAAGTGCAAAGTCAAGTCCCCTATTGCCACAGACTGCACTCAACGCCACACATAGACTCAGACTAATTGCAGTGCGTTAACAATCTGTGTTTATAAATTAGGCAGCAATTATTGGCAAACCTTCAACAGTCTGTCTGAGAATGATTCGAGTCAGTTGGACCACAAATGTTTTGACACTGGTTGCTTCTTACCTATGTAATTACCTTGCCTTTGAAAGTGGTTACTCAGAGATTGAACGTGACGCATGCTCAACCTCTGGGTGACCAGCTGGTCACCGCAACTGCCACTTTTCCCTAGTTCCAAGGCTGCCATTTACTCTAGTATGACTGAGCCATAAGACGATGAACTCACTGACAATGATTACCTTTTTTGAGCTACATCCCCATGTCAAACTATCAGTAAACACATCAGCTATGCTGCTATCTTATACCATGTATGTATCACACAGTTCATACATCTCATGTTACATATGTGTTCCTTTTTTTTCAGGCTGGGATGTGTTGGATGAAATTAAATATCTTCTATTTGGAGGAAAGCTTAGTAAGGTTATCAGAAAAGTTTGGAAACGTTTCATCCAATAAAGAGAACATTAGCATATTCATTCAGATTCTCCAAGAACAAAGGGTCCATATGCAGGATCTGGTAAGTTCATTGTTTACTGGTTATCTTTTACCACTTTTATTACAGATCCAGCATCCATGACAAACAGTGTTGAAATGTGGATTATATATAATTGGATAATGTATATGAAAAACACATAATCAAAATATTTAGTGGCCTAATTATTTAAATCTGAATGATTTTGGATGAAGTTTTTTTGGACTGCAAAAAAAAAAAGAAAGAACGAAAGCATGCAAGCTTCAGGTATGCATTTAGTCACATGATTTTCATTTAATATGGGTAGAAATGGGTTTTCAACATTTTGAAAAAGTTACCCATTCTCACAGGTATTACGCAGCATATAGTCTGTTTCAAATACATGGTCGCTACTGGTTTAGGTTCAGAAAGTAGGAGTCATGATGCTTACTCTGTTAATTCACAAGTTATTCTCACACCAGCTTTGCAAGCGAGACGTGAAAGGCTGCAGAACACTGAATGTCTGAAATACATGAAGCATTTGCACAGTCATGCACTTTCATGTGATAATATGTAGAAAAGCGCAAGATTGCATGTGTGTAGAAAAATTAGAGATTTTTTTGGAAGGAAAAAAGAAATGAAATAAATGTATTTAATGAAAATTGTGTCTCTGTATTTCCAGAATGACATCATGCTTGATTTTGAGTGCCACTATAGGGAAGAGAGGTTTGACACCAACCAATACTTTGACTTCATCGAAGATTTACTCAGAGCTGCACAGAATAAAGAAGATGCACACGACTGTGATGTTCCTCCCTGTCCCACCTCACCATACCCACCATTAATAGACGAGTATTCAGAAGGTGAGTACTCTATATAACACTTTTATGTTGTTAGACATGTTTGTGTAATTTCATTAGTTTAAATGAAGAAAAACTAAATGGTTAATTGAGGTGTGAGATTTGTTGCTTTATTGCTGAATTCGTGTGCAAAGTTTGTATTGATTGCAGCATGTTTGTAGCTACTGTGCACTGGGTTTTGCAGAAAATTTACTATAAGGCCATTTGTGATATATAAATGTTTGCTCATTTGTGTTTGCCTTTAATTCATGTTACAAAAAAAGGGTAGATCTTTTTTTGAGCCAGTGGTCAAATGCTAAGTCAGCATTTCCTCTTACAGATTCTTATTGATTAAAATAAAACAAAGGATAAAAAAAAAGCACTGGGTCGAACTATTTGAACTAATATATCTCAGGTGTTTCTGCAAAAGTTCAGTTGTAACGCCTCCACAACAAGCTGCATGTTGCACACTCGTGTTCACTCCATCTGGAGTGTGATGCTTTAAGCCAAAGCACACTACAATAAATGACAAGACTGGCAAAATATCTATCAGTCAGTCCAGCTTTTCTTGGACGAAGCTGATGTTTTTAAGGTAGTCTGGATTTCGCAATCTGAATTTGAATTCATCTTTTTTCATTCTGCATGAAAAGAGTCAGCAAGGAAACAAAAAACAAAAAAATGTCAGAAGAGGATAATCATATTTTTCACATTTTAGTTTCACAGTTAAGATCACTTTGTAATGCACCTGATATTCTACATGTGCCCTTAAAGATATGAATTTAAGATTTGCACAACATTTTTCATTTTATGAAGTTACCACTTTCTCTGTATCAACAATTTGCATTCATTAATGTTGAGAAAAATTGAAGAAGGTATAATCACTTGAAAGTAAAGAACACTGTTTAGTACTCATAAGTCAGATAACAATAATAAAGAATAACTGAATATGATTACTTTTAATGATGATCAGTAACAAGCAGAAAGATTGTTTAATCACATTTTCATATGTGATATATTACAGTATATCATGATATAATTTGAAGTCAGTTTAATACTTAGCAACCAAAGGGCTACACAGCACGAGCGCGTCTAATACCTAATACCAGATTACCCAGAGAAGTTTGCACAAAATTAAAACTAAGCCTTGTCAAAACCACAGTTGGAAAGGAAACTTTAAAACTCCGAGAAATGTATAATCCCCCCAAAAAAATAATGTTATAACTATACTAACAAGAATATAAATTTGCAAAAGAATCTAAACTAAGGACTGAGAACAATAAAACACACAAACCCGAGGCATAAGTTAAAGGTGTGGGAAAGCAGGCAGCGTTCAGAAACTAACCTTAACTCTTGAAAACGCCCTCCCAAAAAATAAATTTAAACCCTGAACATTTCCGTCACAAGTTCATTCCTGCTTGTAAAACTACAGCCACCCTCTTAGGAATATAGTGAAAAGGCTTTATTTAGGACAGACCTCTTGTGGCTGTTTGGAGAAGCTTTTAATCCACAAACCATTATTTCTTCACAAGAACTTTGCAAGATAAGAGCTGAAAAATGTTCTCAGCGGTCAGATGGCCCATAGAGACACGGCTGAGTCACAGGACCGAGGGAAGATGTCCCAAGGTAGCACATGTGAAAAGGAAGAAAAGAGCCGAAACCTGATTGTCTACACGTTGAATACAGAGCAATCTTCCCAAGCGCTTGGCTTTTCTTTTGCGGAGTGGTTGGATGAGCTCTATTGTGCGTGTTTGAGGGGAGAGTAGAAAAAGTGGTGTTGAGGTGCCTTTTTAACACCTGACAATAAAATGTTGACACTCCTCTCTTCCCTTAATTTCCATCCCTTTATGTCACTTTTTCATTTGTCTTGTTGTGTTTTCTGGTAACTCTGAATGTGTTTTTCTGTTTATCCTTCAGAGTCCCCCACTACCAGCCCACCGTGTCCAAATGACTGCAACACAAGTAAGTCTGTGGATATTTGCAAGAAAAAAAAAAGAGCTGCAAAACCAGTCCAGCTGGTGTACCAAATGGGCAGCAGTGTTTTTCCACTTTTGATATCAAGTAAGCCAGTGCCCTCAGAATGCTGTCACTGATGAGCAGTGCTCTTCGGGGCAAATTCCTCATCATGTGCCTCGCCTTGTCCTTTTAAGTGTTTACCTGCCCACTCAGTTAAAACCCCTGTAGGGCTTTGCATCTTCACAAGTTGTCAGTGTTTTGATTAACTGCACGTGGAAATGCAGACAGAATGTACATTTCATTAAATACTGATTCATAAACATTCATTACAGTGTGAAGTGTAAGTGCGTTGCAGAGTGGTTGTAGTAACACAACAGAAACACTGAAGGGGGAGATCAAGAACATGGTGATATAATAAGTTTCTTTTTGTTTACTGTTGCTTTCCTGATAACCACATTAACCTCCAGAGAGATTAAATTTCAGTATTTTATTTGAATGGATGCCAAGAAAATCTTTGCACATTATCAGTAGTTTGTGCCGCAAAATGCTCTTTATGTTAAAGATAGTAAGAACTAAGAAATAAGGTACGGTATAATATTTATTTGGTGATGATCTTTACTTTTCACGGTAAAAACAAAGAAAATTTAATTATTAAAAAAACAGAAATCACTGAAGAAAAAGTTTATTTATTAATATTTAATCATAGTTTAAGTAATTTTTAAGAGAATTTGTCCTTTTAATCCTAGGTGAGCAACAAAGACTCCTGCCTGAGGTGGTGGAGAGAAGCCTTCTCTCCTTACTCTTCATTCCACTTTTAGCCATCGTGTTCTTGCTTGTATGGAAGGTGAGCCAACCTTTGACCTCAAACACTAAGCTGAAGTACCTAAGAGATATGAAAATGTCGAGAGATACAGTCGTGCTTTGTTCCATTGAATTTATGAGAGCTGGCGGCAGCCTTTCAACTTTGTGCCATTGTTCTACACACCTCGTTGATCCTTGTGGTGAACTTTGGAATTAAGAGGAATTTTCTAACCTGGCACAGGTCAGATCACGGAGGAACCAGGACGATGTTCAACAGAATCCTGCAGAAGAAGGACTCACAGGAACAGAAGGGACTGCACCTCCACTAGATACTGAAATATCAGAAAAGTGAGCTTTTTTTGTTTGTTTGTTTTTAATTTACAGGCAATGCAAATTTGCAGCAGTAAAATAATGCTCTGACTTCTTACTGCAGCTGGATTAGTTGCTTAAAACTGATTGAGCAAGCAGTCTGTTAATTGTGTACTATTTATTCATAAAAAATATAAACAGAGATCAAAGGTATTACTTCAGGCATGAAAACTCTAAAATAGCAAATTTGCAGTGAAATATTGGAGGTGTGGGTTTTGTTAAAATTGTGAATTTAGTAGTAGAAAATGTTTTGTGTGTTTATTATTACACTATTTTTAGGCCTAGGCTTTGAACTCGTATCAAATTCTGCTGCTACTTTACTTTTTACATTTCCTTCATATTCACTCTTTTGTAAGTCCCCTGATTTCATAGAAATATTTCATAGAATATCATCACTGTGTAGTCAAGACTCTTTAAAGAAGGTCAATAGCCTAACTGTTGCACAATGGCAAGAAACAAAAAATAATAAGTCATTATTTTAAATTAAAAAGTATATGCACAAAATAAATAAAAAAATAAATAAAAAGGTAATTTTTCACCTAACTGTAGGGTGTCGCTCATATATATAACCCTCATATTGCCACCCATATTAAAAAGTTTAGGAGACACCTCTGTGCTAGTCCATCACAACAATGTACTAAACATTCCACAGAGATTTTGGCTGAAGATAGCACTGACATGACTGACACAGCACTGTTACTGCAAATATCCTGATTGCATTCCCATGATGAAAATCTCCACATCTCAAAGGTGCTCTATTGGATTGAGATCTGGTGGATATTGAGGCCATTTGAGTGCACTGAACTCAGTTTCATGTTCATGCAACCAGCTTGAGACAATCTGAGCTTTGTGACATGGCGCATTATCCTGTTGGAAGCAAGCATCACAAGATGGGCACACTGTGGTTATAAAGGGTTGAACATGGTCGCCAACAACACTCATTTAGGCCGTTGTGTTTGAACAATGCTTAGTTGATACTAAGGGGCTCAAAGTGTGACAAGGAAATATGCTCCACACCAGCAGTCCCCAACCTTTTTTGCGCGACGAACCGGTTTATGTCAATATTTTGGCGGCCTTTAAGGTATCAGGGATAAATACAACAAAATAAAACCAGTACCGGTACCAAAATAAAGATTTATTCATAATACACAGGAAAAGACCCAGGGAAACCGAGTTAACGATAAAAATGATTTTAAAAAAATCTATAAAAATTAATAAGACCCCCAAAAACCATAAATTTCACACCCAAGCCTCAACTCTTGCGACCCGGTTCAAACGACTCCGGTACGGGTCCGTGACCTGGGGTTTGGGGACCGCCTGCTGCTCCGCACCATTGCACCGACACTCTGAAATGCTCATACAAAGTCGGATGGATGCACACTTTTATGGTGATGAACCCAACTTCTGACTCTACCATCTGATTGTCTTATTGCCAAACCATCAGACAAGGAAACAATTGCAACAGTTTGTTGTTCTTATCTGACAGAAGATACGATCTTTGCGGGCCTCTACTGCTGTAGCCATCTTCTTCAAATATGATGCTTCCTTGTTGTAACCTACCAAGCAACTGAATGCAATCAGACCAATCTCCTCTGACTTCAACAAAACATTTTAACCAAGAGGACTGCCACTCACTGCATATTTTCTTTTCTCTTATTTTTGGACCATTTTCTGTAAACCCTAGAAGTGGTGGTTGTGTGGGGAAAATCCCAGCCAGCATGGCACCAAGAAACATTCCATTTTCAAACTCATTTAAATCACCTTTTATTCTTATGCTTGGTTTAAATTTCAGCAGGTCACCGTGACTGTGTCTAAATGCTTAAATGCATTAATTTGCTTCCATGTGATTGATTCATTTCCATTAGTTAATTTTGCCTGATAAAGTAGCTAGGAGGGGTATATATTCACATCATAGAAAAAGGTTTGAAGATATATATTTACTGCCAGGACTAGTAAAAAAAAATGACAAAAGTAGTTTTCCTACACTTTTCAAGCGTCTTGACTGCATTGCTCACGTTGTCCTACTGTACCAACCTTGACTCCTGTCATGTGAAAGCCATCTCTGTTGTTCTTGATGTCTTTTCTTGTTTGTTCTTCTGCTTCTTCTTTTTCTTTCACTGAAAGATAATGTCTGTCTGTTCAACTACAGGAACATGCTGAACGTCATTGAAATAGTGTAAGGCTTCTGCATTTGGTGTTCTTCGGTGTATTTGGTAAGATTTTTGACATTGCTGTAAATAAGAGCAAATACATTTCAAAAAGCTCTAAAACCTCATCTCACTCTCCTTTCTCACAGGGTTCTACCCTTTTCTTCTGTTGGTGTCTAAGGGTGAAAAGAAAACACGAAGCTGAATTCCATTGTGAGACCGTAGAGGCGAAAGGCCTGTTCATGACTGCTCTCCAGATTCACGATGGCATATTACATCACCGAGACTGTTCTGGTTTAATCACACACTTATATCATGCGGATAAGCTTGCCTTTCTTCTAGGACTGCATGCTTTTGAGAAAAAAAAGTGAGATATTTGCTGTTATAAACTCCTGTTCCACACTCATCCTGGGACTCTATGACTCCGACTAATCATTCATCAGAATCTGCTGGATCGACAGATCTTTGGGGGAAAGCTATGTCTTTTTACCAGCGTGTCATTCAGTCTTGGCTGTGTTTTTGGGCCTGCCGCTTCATTTTCAAGGAACATACCACAAGGTGACCAGTGTTATGCTGGTTATGTCTTGTATGAACTTAAGCCTGAATTACTACCTCCGGTGACCCTCATGTTAACCACACCTTCAGCAGCTCCACAGTTTCCTCTGCCTCCAAGGTTTCCTTAAGATTAATAATGTTAATCTTTGTTGTTCCAAGATGTAGTCACATTATCTGCTTTAAGTACAGTATGTACCCATGGGGATATATGATGTATTTATTTATTGGTGGCAGCACTCAGTGGCTGCTGTTCATGCAACTATAATGTCTGAAATTAAGTCATTTAACAGCACCATTACTAAAGGGCCACACATTTAAAAAAAAAAAAAAAAAAAAAGAAGAAAAAAAGGTTCTGTATACTAACACATCGCAAACCCCAAAACATATTCCTCCTAAACAAGTGTCATTTTCTTATTGGTGTTGTTGTTGTTGTGCGTATATGTAATTCGGGTGATTTAGAATGTGTGAGAACACATGTATACAGAATATGCTGCTTTGACTAACTTAGATCTAGACTGTTAAAATCTGCAATGACATTCTGCTAACAAGTATCAGGGATGACGTCTGTGGATTCATATTTTTTTTATTTTATTTTATTTTATTTAAAGGTGAGTTTTTCAGAACATAGAAGACAGGCACATATAAGACAGCAATCGGCTTCCCTTAGCAAATGTTTTAGTTCGACAATGCCTTTATTTTTTACTTTACACACATCTATGTTTGCAAGGCAAAAACTGTTACATAAGAGATTTCTTGATGGCCATTCCTCAAAGGAAAAAACACTAAATTGTTTGAGACAGAAACAGAAATATTCAACAAAGACCTTAGCATTTAGATTTTTATGATAAACTATCTTTCTTTTAAACTGTTTGTTCAAAAACCAAATGTAATCGTAAATCAGGCTCATCAAGTGTAGACTGTTCACTCATAAGGTTTCGTCTGTTCTTGCTTACTTTGCCTTTCAATACTGCCAGAATTAGTGTTGCACAGGAAAAGCACTCGTAGAAAATCTGATGAAATAGTAAGTGCATTTATCAAAATTAAAATGCTAATAAAGGTCAACAGATGATATGAGTTTTTAAAAATTGACAAAAATGCCCCTTACCTTTATAATCCACAAAGTTCTCCACATATTGAATTTTTTGCCTTAAAGTTGCGCCAACTTATCACAGTATTGAGGAAACGGGCAGCAGGGTTAAACTATTTAAAAAGGAAACTAATCTTCACAGCCTTGCCCAAAGACAAAGTAGGGAATCCAATAAATTATGATGGGTTGTAGTCAAGTAATTATGAATATTTTTAATGACAATCAATAAAGAGGTAGCAGTTTGATTAGGACACACTGACTGTGACCTTTCCCATCAGACACATACCTGACAATGACATAACTGGCAGGACACAAACATCAGTATCTATATCTAGTTTGAGTGTTTCTCTTACATATGTGGTCTTACATTGTACCATGTCCATTCATGTTTTTGTGCCTTGTTTGGTTGGTGTGAGTGACTCGTGTGGAAATGTAAAAGCCCTTCCATGTTTCCGTGTTTTAGCAGAGTGGCGAGATCATTACAGGGCAGACAAAAATAACAGACAGGAGGTTCCAGTCTCTCTTCTTCTTTTATTTTTAACTGAGAGTTAAGTTCGTTTGACTTGTGCCCAGTAAAGATTTGGATCTAGTAAAGCAGTGTTTCAGAATGTGAAAACTAAAATGGCTGAACAAACTGCAGTGGTTTTAACTTTTCTGTCCACGTTACATTTTCTCCTTTATATCCTATAGGAAACTTTTAATCTGGTAACTGCTTGTTTCCTGTGTATTTGGGACTATATGTTGGGAATTTTTTCATATAGGAGTAAAGAGTATATTGTGCAAAATTAAATATATGTTTTGTTTTGCTTTTTTTGTTTTTGTTTTTTTATGTATACCACATTGGTGTTCATATAGTTCAGATCAACTTTACCTTTCAGCATCAATAGCTGGAATTTTTTCGTGTGGTATTGTTTTTAGTGTTGAACTGCAAGAAAATGTTCAAAAATGCATTTTTGAGGAACGCTTTTGATCATGACAAATTTCCTGTGACATGTTCTTTATGGCGAGCCGAGTCTGTGTTAGGAAAAAGTATAACACTTTGGTGTCCGTGTAGTCTACACCAACAGTACTTTTAGAGGAAATATCTAAACGTGCGGTATGACAAAGTATTGCAATTTCAAAGTTTTCAGTCAGTTGCTTCCTTTCAAGGATGCATTTTTGAACCGTATTGAAGTATAATATCTATGGCAGTTAAGACCTGAGACTTTCTCTACAGTTACCTTTAGGTTGTGCTTCTCCACATGAAGACTATTACACGCAGTTTCCAATATTCTGACAGAGATACGGGCTTCTCTAGCCACAAATGAGCAAACAAGGTATACTATGTCAAAAGTTGCTTTTATACATGGTCTTTGAATATAATGAGCTGCAACAGGTCTAAGCTGTGAACAAAAAAATAGAAAAAAAAAACATGGTCTCCCATTTTCCTGTCTATGCACGAGCCAGAAGCAGCAGTATGTCTAATGCGGGGAAGCCAGAAAGTAAGCAATTTCTTGCATTAGTCAAGAGAATGACTGCCCTTTAATACTGTTCCTATGTGAGTCGTAATGTGTTCTGATGCATCCTGAACAGTGCTTTTGAGTGTGCGAGTCATTCAGTCCATCTATCTTCAGTGAGTGAGTCAAATGGCTCTAGGCAGGAAATAAGTCTGGGTGCCAAAAAGCAAATGTTATTAATGCCTGGTTGGTATTCTGGGTGAAAACTCTACTGTATTCTGTATTTTTGTATAATTGTAAACAAACATATATGAAATATGAATAAAGTACATGTACCCAGCTGTTATCTGTTGTTTGTTCAAGAATTTTAATTTAGAATCTGCTTGATTAGGAATCCACATGTCATGTGAATCCACACATCACATTTTGAGTACTTGCGTGAAAGAGCTTTAGGTACTTTGGAAGAAAGTAAATTTTTCTAAAATTTCTAAAATATTCTTGAAGAAAAGCTTGGACAATTTGATTTTTATGGCAATTTTCTATACTTCCATACTGTTTGCATTTGTGTTATTATGCTGTAAAATGTTATTGTCTGATTTAAACTGTGTTCCAATGATAACTTGAGAAAAAGCCTACAATAATGTGTTATGAATCCAGCTGATAAGATAAAACAAACTATGTCCTCACTTAAAACCTAGTAAATCACCTCTCTTGTCTTGCAAGACATTTCTCCCAGAAGACTACAAGCATAAAATAGTTAAACACATTTTTTTCCTGCTCCTTTTCTCCATATTTTATTTCATTAACGCAATTACACAAGAGGGAGTACTTGGCCTTCAGCCTTCTGTCTATATATATGCTTCAGTGTTCCAATATCTCGTGGTTTAACATGGTCTTGAGAACATTCACTGTAGCACACTCCACAGAGACAAACATGACAGCTTTCCTTTGATAGTCTGTTTTCGCTATTAAAGAGAGATTATTTGCACATTCATAAAAGTACAAATGTCAAAATGCTTTTCTAAGTCTAATCTACTTAAACCATGTGATTTGCAAAATTACTTCTCAATTAATTAATTAATTATAAAAAAGAGTGCATATCAGGAAAAGAACTTCAGAAAGAATGATTCTACTTTCTGATATAAAGTGGTATTATTCAGTGTATCACACCATGTGATCATTATCTGTCACACAGTGAAACATGATGATGGAAATATTCAAGTCTTAGAGTGTTTTACCAACTTCAGAGGTAGATGCCGTCATCAAATCAACATTTTCCTGGTGTTATGCAGGTTTTCTCCATTGTACCATGTGAGTTTAAGGTCTACCACTATAGCAAATGACTTGTTCACATAATACTTCGATTTCTGTGACTGCATTTTGTTTGCAAACTTCAAGTTTTTCCCATGTCTGATTGCTGATTCTGATTAGGATTTGAACTACTTTCAAGTACAGACAAGCAATGTTTCCTCTAATTTTTCATGTGTCTGAGCAAACACACAAACTCTCTGAGCGATCCCTTGGACCTCTGTGAGCGACAGCAGACGTGTGCACTGTGGTCACGCCGGCATCGAATCCATCCAAGTTACATGGTTTATTAAAATAATCAAATTACAGCATTTACATTTATGTCAGACTACTTTTAATTAACCGCTTTAGCCCACTTACAATGAAAATGTAAAAAATCTTGTTCATCACCTGTGTAGTACGTTAACACTATTGGAAGTAAAAATAACTTGAACTCCAATTTTGGAAACACAAATTTCTTTTTTCTTTTTCTTCTTTTTTTTTATAAGACTCTGACTGGTATTATGAGTATGAGTCTGTGGTCTGGGAGAGAGTCCTGTAACTCTCTGTCTGCAAAACTTAGTTACTTCTTCAAAAAAGTAACTAAGTTATGCAAACAAAGTTTTTTGCAGCTGTTTACCTAAAAATGCAGTCAAGGCAGTTTTTTAAATAAACATTTCAAATCAATTAGCTGTTCTGCATCAAATTTGATGCCACACAAATTATTTGTGCCACTCCAAAAAATACATTTCTATCCACTATGAGATAAAGGGGAACAACAGCCTGATACCTGCAGGCCTGACAACAGGAGATGTATCACTCCTGTAACACCTGTAACATTCAGCAGTCGCCTCATTGTTTTGACACACACAACTACACTACACACTAACTACACAAGATTTGTGCTAAACGTCGCAAATCTCTCACATCTCAAAACATCGCAGTCACTCCTAAAACTTCCCCATTCCTAAACAACTAAATACCATGTTGCCATATCATTTTTTGATCGGTCGACATGGTACATTTTTCGGGGGGACAAGAATTTTTGATGACATTTGTGATTAAATGAATGTCGGTGTCCAGAATATGCTTGTGCAATATTTCAATACTTGGTACTACTGGGTTGACTTACCAGAATGTATGTTTCTTTTTTCCTTTTACTTTGAGGTGCTGTTTAGTCAACTTCCTGCATATCTGACCAGACATTATCTGACTATCCGGTTGTTCAGTCTGACGTCACTAGCCGTGTCTGGGTCTAAACTCCGGCAGGTCCATATATCAAACGATCACTATGGCATTACTGAGAGTTGAAAAACTGTCTAAAGTCTTTCATCTTTAATAAAATGATCAGCGTTCTGTTCTACCAGGTGTAACAATTGAGTTTAACATCCAGGCATCCATGAAAATGAAATTTATGACATTTAACGGAGTTAGAAGTTAGCAGGGAGTTAGCTCGCTAGCTTCTATCTAAATACAATATAGCATGTCCTGACTGCGGGGTTTTGGAAACAAATTAAAACGTACAGCTCTACTATCACTTCCAACATAAATGAAGACAGAAAACTAAAAAGCAGTGACGTTTGTAGGGTTACTGAAGTTTGGCTAGCTGGTATATAATGATGTGCTACATGACCGCTAACGACACAGCTATGTTAGCATAATATAAACAAGCTAACTTTTTTTCCACTCGATAAAAGTTAACGTGAGTGTCCTCGTGGTCAGGAACAAATGTAATCGCATGGCAGGATGCTGTAAAAGGACCAAACTTCAGCCAGGAGAGCAACTGAGATAATCCATCCACAATACGAGGTTAGTCATTCATATACTGCTGCATGGGCTGGGCTGTAGCTACATCCTAAGGTTTTAAAAACTGAGCTTAAATAAATGATTAGCGGTAATAAAAGCCGAGGGAGGTCAACAGTGATCACTGACTGTTTTAGGAGCTTTTTGAGATCAAATAGAAGAAAATACAAAACATTAAACATGTTAACAACACAAAAGCCATATTAAACGCAGACTAATTTAGACCCGGAAGTAGGATTCGTCGCGTCATCACTGAACAACCGGATACACTTTGCTCCCTCTGTCCTCTTTCACATCAACAATAAACATCATGCCAGTGAATGCACTATCAGATTCAAGATTCAAGAACTTTATTGTCAGTACAACAGTATACACAGTATACAGAGTACCAAAATGCTGTTTCACCCCAGACCCCCATGGTGCATTTATAAGAATATAAAAGATATATCTCCAAGAGATATAAAACTAGGAGTTACAAATAAATAACTTTGGGTAAAATTAAGGGATAAAAAGGCACTAATTACTAACTATACAATACTATAATAATAACTATACAATACCAGCTGTACAATAAAGAAAGACAGGACAGTGTGTTCAATAACTATGTGACTGAGTGTGCAAATAAGCATATTGTTCCCAGGTCCGGTTTGTAGTGGGTTTGTGGACGTTTTTGTTGTTTTTGAGACTTTTGGTGAGTATTGTAAGGTGCTAGTAAAAGTGTTTGTGCATATCAGCCTTTTATGTTGCACCTCAAAAACATGTGTTTTAGAGGTGGCATATTTCTGTGGTGTATTGCAAGTGATTTCAAGCCCATTTTACACATCTTTGTCATCATACCCCATTCTGGTGGCTCTTAGTTGAATCTGTCAGAGCAGACATATAAACATACTTTGTCTTATGAAGTTTTCACTTTATGGTAGATATAAGAATGTCTACCTGCTAAATGTGTTGAAAAGATGTAAGGAGAGGAGCTCAAGTATGTAGAAATTAAAAGCAAGACTTTTTACTTGATTCATTGCTCAGTTCTGGTAAAAGAATTGCTCTAAGCAAATTAAATGTCCATGTAGATCTCGGAAGTCTTTGAGATCTTGACAGGCTCAAAAATTAATTTCATTTTTTATTAGACTAAGTTAGCTTCTCTAAAAAAAGTAACCACAGTTTAATACTCTGAGTCTTGTCCTGACATGGAGCATAGAAACTGAACATTTAACAGTATTTCCTCTTTTGTCAGACTTTTTTTATTACATTTAATTGTACGATAGTTGATTACAGATCACTGATTACTGTAGGTCCTCTGAAACAGGAGGCAGCAAATTAGAGGCATAACGCTATGACATTTACTTCAAAGCAGATAGCATGTAATGAAAATAAAATGGCGGTGCAGCCATTAAGCAGATCTGCATTTGGTCTGGAAAGAGAGTTTGTTACTCTGTACAAAAAGCTCTTTGGAAATCTATGGCATCTTTCTACTGCGTTCAGCACACACAAAGGAAAACAGGAACAACCCCAGATTTCTTTTCAGTACTGTAACCAGGCTTACAAAGAGTCAGAGCTCAGTTGAGACGTATTTCTTTAACCATAACTAATAATGACTTTGTGAATTTTTCACAAGTAAATTTCTAACTATTAGAGAAAAGAATAGCTACCCCAGTTAATCCCAAACATTGTCCAAGCTTTTCTTCTCAGCCCTCCCACAGATGTGCTATAGAGCACTGCAGCATCTCTGATCTTCAGTATTTTCTTCCTCCAAACCATCAATGTGCCTTTTAAACCCCATCCTTCACTTTTAAATGAGATTAAGCAATCTTTGCTGGTGGGCTATGTGAATTTTAAAAGTGGCACTATGTGACCTTAGGCAATGCATACATATTTATTACTCTGCAGATGATGCCCAGTTTTATTCATCCAATTGACAGAAATCTGCAGGCATTTTGAAAAGATGTTAAGGCCTAAATAAACTCTAATTTTCTAGTTCTAAGTAAAAAAAAGAGGTTCCTAAAATTGTAGAAACATGTCTAACTAGATAGTTACTCTATATTACATTACTCTGGCCTCACAGTAACACTGTGAGGAATATTTAAGTCATTTTTGATCAGGGTATGTCATTCAGTGAGTACATTAAACAAATATGTGGGATTACCTTTAGTCATTTGCGCAGTATCACTAAAATGAGAAACATCCTGTCTCAGAGTGCTGCTGAGTTCATGCATTTATTACTTCTAGGAGGTTTTTTACTGTGAAAAGCAAAATGTTCC